TGCTTTACTCTTTGTTTTAGTAAGAATTCAAGTAAGATATGATCTAAATACTACAAAAGGACCTGCTGTTCTGCATTCCTCACCATTGTGCCATATGGCCAAAAATGTTTTAGATGCAGGCCATTTACTGAAGTCTGGAAATCCCTCCATTTTCCTTCTTGCAAGGGTGACAGGTTGGTCTAAATGTGTGGAGGAAGTCAACCCAGAGCACATCAGGCACCTCGCCTTCCTTTTGGGCAAAGCCTGAAAGCTGGATAATGAAGTATTTCTTAGCAGTATAAATTCAGAAAGTTGGAACACAATAAATTTTTGAATGTTCTTGAAGCAATGCAGTTTTCCCCTTGTCTTAAAACCACTGCACAGCTTATGAGACATCTTGTCTCATCAGAGATGATGAGATCAGAGATCTTGTCTGGCAAGAGCAGATACTTAAAATCTGTCCTTTAATTGAGTCAAAGGAAAAGGGAGGGATGTGTTGCAGGTTTCATAACTTCTGTAAATTCCTGTTCATGTGGCTTCAAGTATAGTTTTTTCTTGCACTGCTATTTTTTTTTTTATGAAAAGCAGATGTCTTAGCTCTTAGTTGTCTGACCTTAAACCCTCTTATTACATCAGTTGCTGTGGGCAGAATATAGTGTTCAAAACCATTGACCACATGGCATGACCTCTGGTGAAGAAGTTGCAGTTGGGAAGCTTGCAGTGATGTGTTTGTAGTGATTAAGCCTGTTTATGTTTGCATAAGCATCTAATGCTTGGAGCTGTTTCATTCTTCTGAAATATTTAATGACAGCAGGAGAGCATAGCAAATGTGTTTATCTTGCAAGTGATCTTCAGGATGCTTATGAGCTAGCTTTGTGAAGACCTAACCTCCCTGTAGGCTCTCTGCAGAATTGGCAGGTACCCCCCACTTAGCCTTCTCAGGTTGTTCAAACAAAAAAAAATGTATATACTTTAATACAATCAAATATGAAAGATACAGTAAAAATGTCAGGCATGTTTGAAGCATGGAGAAAAAGCCTTTCAGCTGAATACTTGAAGATCAATCTATTCAGTTTATTGTGAGGAAGGCTAAGATTTCACTTCTTTAAGATGAATGGATGTTGCTACTGGGAGAAAATACTGAATGTTAAATTCACTCTTTCATTAATGAAAAAAATAATAAAAAGTCGAAACAGATACAAGGTAAATGGATTTACAAATAAAGGTCTCATTTTGATCAATTAGACTGATTAAACATTGGAAAGAGCTGTCAAGGAATGGATTTAGTAACCATTTTTATGTTCTCAGGACTGATTTCTTTCTAGAAGATAGTCTTTATTCATGCATACACCATTGAGCTCAATATAGATTTAAGTGAGTGAAGTCAAAGAACTCATGGCACATAGAAAGTTAGATTCGATTCATCTTTCTAACCTTAAACCTTGGTAATTGTATAACATTGTGGTGAGTTTGGAGAAGAGCACTGAGAAGTAGTTTATGGATTCAGGGAACTGATTTTTGAGATCAAAATGTTAAATATGTACCATTTGGCACATAAAGACATGAGAATATAAATCTGCAAGCGTTTGTAGATGTGCTGGGAATATTTAGCATAACCGAAAGGGTTTATGGCTGGGAAAAGTAAGATGAGGACAACTCTTAAAATAGCTGAAAAGACCTTTTAACAGTGAGATGTATAAATTTCTGACTTAATTATCCAAACTTAGTCTTGAATGTACTCTTCCACTTAGACTCTGAAATTATTTAACCCAACCTTGTTTCCATTTGGTTAGCAGTCAAAATGACAGATGGAAAGAAAAGGAGTATTCTTTCAAGAACTTTAATTCTTTATCTTGGCATCTTGAATATGCATTATAGTATAGCTGAAATATGTTTTCATTCAATTTGGACTTTTATCATAATGGAATGATTTTCTGTATCACTCTATTCAGAAGACACACCTTTTATTTGCAGTATCTGTTGTATTTTTTTTCCAGATAATTTTATAACTTATTTCCCAGGGGAAAGCAGTGAATATGATCATTTTAATTGTTCTTGCCTCCGCTTCGAATCAGTTTTGACAAACTTCAGCAGACCATAGGAGAGGGAGTTAAAAATATCCCTGCAGATTGGTACCTGGGCAGAGAGGAGATGTGACAATTTCGCCAAAGCAAGAAGGTGCAACATCCTGGGCTCAGTGGATGTCCTATGCAGTGGTTGGCGTGGACAGACTTGGGACCAGCTAAGAACATGAAGCTGCAGCTGATGGACGTGTGAGGAAGCTGTAGTACAGGGTGTTTGGGGGGAAAATCACAGAATGGCTGAGGTTGGAAGGGACCTCTAGAGATCATCTAGTCCAACCATGCCCCCTGCTCCAACAGGGACACCCAGAGCATGTGGCACAGGGTGGCGTCCGGGCGGGTTTTGAAGATCTCCAGAGAAGGAGACTCTACAACCTCCCTGGGCAACCTGTTCCTGGGCAGCCTGTCACACTCAAAGGAAAGAAGTTCTTCCTCATATGGAGATGGAACTGCCTGTGTTTCAACTTACACCCATTGCCCATTGTCCTGTCACTGACCACCACTGAGAAGAGTTTGGCCCCATCTTCTTTACTTTCTCCCCTCAGGTATTTGTACATGTTGATAGATCCCCTCTCAGCCTTCTCTTCTCCAGAGAAAACAGGCCCAGTTCACTCAGTCTCTCCTCATATGATAGATGCTCCAGTCTGTTAATCATCTTTGTGTGCTGGACCCTCTCGAGAAGCTCCACATCCCTCTTGTCCTGGTGAGCCCAGAACTGCCCCCAATACTCCAGATGCAGTTTCAGCAGAGCTGAACAGAGGGGCAGAATCCCCTCCCTTGACCTGCTGGCAACACTCCTCCTGATGCAGGCCAGGATCCCATTGGCCTTCTTGGCCACGAGGACACACTGCTGACTCATGGTTAACTTAGTGTCAACCAGGACTCCCAGGTCCCTCTCCGTGGAGGTGCTTTCCAGCAGATCAACCCCTAATCTGTACTGGTGTGGGGGATTATTCCTCCCCAAGTGCAGGACCCTGCACTTGAAATAGGCATGTGGCAGTACAGGAGGTGAGATTTTTGTTCTGTATTTGGGTATTTTTGTCTCATCTCCTCTGGAAGACTCAGATTTAAATAATTTTTGAAATTTTTGATTACTTTGTGAAGATTTTTTTTTTGATGTAATTAAATTTGTTTTTTTTTTTGCAAAGATAGGGACATAGGTAGTTTTAAAAAGAAGAAGAAATGTGGTAAGATTAGGATAATCTCTTCTGATTCCATGAAATAGTGATTTATGACTGTTTATTCTGAGCCAAAAAATTTTGGTAGGCCATCCCAGTCAGTAATTTAATCACTTTTAATAAATCTATTCTTTGGGGTATTTAAAAATATTTATTAGCTTATGTGTGATTTTATTTGGTATGAAGGCCAGATTTCATGGTCCAATTGTTTTTCAATGGCCTTAAAAATCTTAAAACAATAATGGAGCATTTGAAATTTCTCAAATTTCTCTACTTCTGCTGTCAATTTAAGCAGCAGGTTACTGACTTGACTGCGTGTAGGAGTTCAGTAAATTCATATTGAAGTTTTTTTATAGAGCTCTTTCATGAACATGCATTGACTCTAAAATCTAATTTCCTGAGACTTTAATTCATTGCTTGCAAAAGAAGACTTCTGTAAGTTCACCTGAGACTTTCTTGTCACTTCATAGTTTTCCTGTAATTTTCATACTTTGACCTCACCAGTTCTCTACAACCTTTCTAAGAGGTACATGTTAAAAGAAAAAAACAAAAATCTTACTAGTTTTCAGATCTTTAGCAAGTTGCTCTTTGAAGACCTGGTAGGTTTTTCATTATTATTATTAATTTCATCATACATTTACATCTAACTTGCCAGAGCTTCATCTTCTTTTCCTTACTTGGATACCATTTCCAATACAGATAGTAGCTATGGGATATATTTTTTTAAAATCCTGCTTCTATATATTCTCTAAAAATAGTCTCTACCAGAAATTTCCCTTGCATATCTAAACTTCTCCTACTTCTGCTACTAAACTACTACTGCTGCTGGAGAGGCAGAGCTCTGTGGTGTCTGTACATGTCTTGTCCCATTCTCCCAGTGCTGAAATGGAAACCAGGCTGCTTTTTCTCTCCTTATCATTCGTTCCTGGTAACAGGTTACCTGCTAACTTGAGTACTGCCCTTCCTATTTTTGTTTCCATTTCTTTTTTCATTTTGATTTGTTAAAGGAACAAATTCCCAATAATAGCTCTGACACCTCATTTCTTCTAAATTCCCAAGTTTTGGCATGTTTACTTTGTGCATTCTTCTGTGTTCTTCATCACTGAATGCTGCTGTTGGTGGTTAGTTCTGCAAGGAGAAAAAGTAGCTAAACAAAATTCACAGTAGAATTTCTTTTTTGCAGCTTCATCAGCATTAGTTCCCAAGACTTATCAGAAATGCAGTTGGTCTATTCATATGTATGGTTGGTATATTCTTATATTCCCGGGCTGGCCAAGGATTTAAATTTTGCTTGTAACTGTTCCTTGAAAAGGTGGTGATAAGTTAATTTGAAGCAATAGCATCTAATGCGAAGACTCAAAAATGAAAAAAAAAAGTGGCTCTTCTTTTAAAAGAAGTGGATTGGAAGGAAGCTTTAGTGTGAGAATACATTTAGGTGACTATAAGCTTTGGGGCTTATGGGTCATAATTAAAATTTAATATTTTTTTTTCTTTGGCTACATAGACTTCTGTCTAATTTCATTATATATATATAGTTATATAACTATATATATTACAGTTTCCAGGAAACTAATAAAATAGTCGAATAATCAGAGTATAAAATATGTATGTGTATATGTGTATAGATATGAATAAAGGCAAATATATATTCTGAACTGCATACATACACACATATATAATCTAAATATTCTGGGTGTATTGTTGAAGCTGTAATACTCTTTTTTTTTTTTTTTTTTTTTTTTTTTTTTTTGTCTCTGAGCAGCACCCGGCAATGCCATCTACTTCTTGATGTCTTCAATTCCACAGAGCGTGAGTTGACCATTAGTGCTAAGAACAACCAAGATTTAATTCTGCATGCAGGGGAGTGTCAGCGGTGAGTGCTTTCAGTCTTCAAAAGGCCCATATTTGTGACCCTGTTACTTCTTGTACCCTATTCATGTTCTTGTGAATATATTTTTCCTTTTTAACATCTTATGCATGTAAAAGAATACAATAATTTTATTTACTTTAAAGTAACATAGTAGATTTCAAGCAATTTCTCAGCTTAATTTATTTTGGCTATGAATCTCTTAAGACTGAAAATAACAATGTATAATATAGTTGTGAGGTAAACAAAGGTATATAGCATTGAAATGCCTAGTGTATCTATAGTTTCACAGGATGTTTTAATACCATTTTCCTACATTATCAAAAGAGTTATCAGCCTTTCACAACTTGAATGAGTCTTTTCTCTATAGACATCCTCAGCCATTCCATCCATTTCAATAAAAAGAGAACTGCAGGAAAGAAAAACAGAATTGGAGGAGAAAACAATGGCAATTTCTGTAGAAAAAAATGCCTAGATTAAGTAGGCTGTTACATATGTTGGCTTTTACAATCCTACTAGGGTGATGTAAAGGCCATTTTGTAGATGACTGCAGCATAAAATTCCTAAGAATCACTTGCTATGGTAGATTTTCTTTCCCCAATTTCTGCCATTGGCTGTATCTAGGAATAATATTGCTTGGTTCATCTCTCTTAGACAACTGTGACATCTCAGGGTTGTTATTTTTGTCCTGAAAAGGTGAAACTGAGAAAGAGAAAACGTTTCAGGCTGATCATGGAGCATCAGCAGAGCTCGTTTCCGTTCTGAAAGAGCTGAGGTCCTGCATCATGCAGCAGAGCTCTGGTTTGAAAGAGGGAGATTTTATTTGCATTCTCCCTCATTCCAGTTGTTAAGGTCCAAGTAAGAACATCTCATCTGCAGGACATGCAGTTGGGCAGAAAGAAAATATCTCATAACGTTAATAAAGCTATTTTAGTAGCTAGTCTGTTAGTGACTCTAGTAGCACTCTAGTACTCTGGCACAACCGCACAAATAGAGGCCGGGCAAAAATATTGCTAAAATACAGTGGTTTTAGCTTTTCCACTTTGTTTAGAAAGCACTGTTTTTGTTCTGTTTTCTTTTCTTTTTTTAAGCAAATTAAATATTCACCAAAATGTGCATATTCTTATCCATACAGTGGACCTAATTTTGTTCATATGCCTTGCTGTTTCCCATTGGTTTTTAACATTTTGTATTTGGTGAGGTCCTGGGTGTAAGCATAATTTCAGTTCTGGCGATGATAGGTAATATATAGAAATAATGCTACAAGAAATGTTATAATGTTACTTTGCATCTCCTTGACTGAATAGCTTTCATTTTTTTTAGGGTATAATACTTGAAGTTTAAATATTTAAATCATTATATTGTAATGGATATAAACCTTTTAAATAAGTCCTTTGAAATGATCATTTATCAATGAGGATTGTGCAAGTGGTGAAAGTATTTGGACCTTTTAAGGATAATGATTTAAATCTTACTATAAAATACGGGTTTTATTCTCATTTAGAGGTGGCTGTAGTTTTTCTGATCTCTAAACTCATTTGTTTTCTGTTTCTTGAATGCTAAGCTATTAATTTAGCTCTGTATATGTGTCTGTGGTATTGCTTAAAAGATTTAATTCTTATCTGATCTATCTACTAGAGAAATTTAGACAGAGAACAAACTGGACCTTAAAATTAGCTTAGCAAGGGCTTTTTGTTAATCTTACAGAAAAGAACCACTTGGAAATCTTCCCTTTTCCCGGAGTAATGGTTCTAGATCCTTCTGCAAGGTGAAAAAATGGTATTTAGATACTATTAAGAAAAAATGCCATCTACTAGCGCATCAAAATACTGTCTAAAAATACTTTTGTACAGTAAGATTATTCTGTTTGGCTGGTAAAGAGGATTGTTTTAGCTTTTAAAAAGCCTTAAATTAAGACTTGCTGCAGGTTTTTAAATTCATTATAAAGAATATTTAGTGTGTGCAATGTGACTGTTCTCCAATTTTTGTATCAAGTGGAGTTTCTTATGTGTTAGGAAAGAGTTGTAGGCACCACGTGCTTTGTTGACGACTTGTTTTGGACTACAAAGGTGTTGAGGGGTTATTTCTTGACTCACTCATTCTGTCTTTTACTGTTGTATTTTATGTCAATGCACACAATTACAGGAGCAGCCTTTCATTTTTCTCCCTCTCAGGATATGATATGTCAGTGATTCTCCCTCTTTTCACTTTCTATGTGGTTTGAAAGATTCCTCTATGTCCTGCTGCATCCAAAATGCGTTGTACAGACAGTTGATGTCTTATCAAAAAGCTGCCAGGTAACTTATTCTAGAGAAAAAGTTCTCCCTAAACAGAGTGAAACTCAGATGTCTACAGAGTCTTCAGTTAATGAAAACATTTGTGACATACAACCCTGTGGTGTCTATATGCTTTTAACCTATCCAGTTGAACCAAATTCTCTTGAATATAGCTCTGGAAAGCTCGGTCTTCACAGAGGTTCTAGCCCAAGGGAGCCTGCCGTGTGCCATGCTGTGCCATGAAATAACTGTGCACTGAGGAAGCTGCCATACGTTGTTGGCCAGTTGGAAGGTTATGAACACAACTGATCTCGTTCCTCACAGCAACAGGGTGTTTAACTGAATGCTTCCAAATGGCAGAATAGAGGTGGAAACGCTGGCCAGCAATTGGGTTATGTATGTTAAAATAAGAAGTGCTTTACCAGTAGCAGTGTGTTTAACTTACTGAAGAACTTAGGTATGGTAATTATTGTGCTTCTTACTTGATTATCAAACCGTTAAAATTAAATTTCATGATAGCCCTCATTTATGCGTAAATCACTTCATAATTTATGGTAATAGATGTTATCTCATTACATGCCCCAGGATATCTCATTTTGTAGCATGCCCTGCACTGCCTTTACATTGACATTGTGTTCAGAGCACTTGGGCATCTCAACCATTGAGGAGTTACCAAGTTCCCAAGGTAGAGGTCTGAGCAGATTGATCCTCTTGTCTGTCTTTGTGGTCCAACACGACGAAATAGGGAGAATCTTGCAGGTGCATAGGATGAATAAATGCTCCACAGCTGGTGGCTGTAGATGTAGAAAGTCTAGAGGTTAGAGGGTTTGAATTTTTTTGGCCTTGGGGTGAGGACTTCAAGGATAGAGGCCTAGGAAATAGGATTGGAGTGAGCAGTGAAGACATGAAGAGCCAGCAGGATGTAAGAACAGACTGAGAGGAAAAGGGTGAAATGGGATCACTCATGGCAGAAGACATCTAGTGGGTGTCATCCATTAGCGAAAACATCTTTCCCACTAAATGTTCGCTTGAGATTCAAGTTTATGGAGATTTGTATCTCAAAAGGTAGAGGTAATTACTTCTGAACCTTCTGGATGGGTGTCTCACTGGTAGAGGCCATCACAAATGATAATACCCATTGTTTGTTAGTTCAGAGGACAGAGGAGCAAAATTGCTAAGTTCTAACAACTCCAGGTGACCTGTATACTAAAGAATTGCTGGAGTACCAAAAGCATTCAGAAATTATTCCAAGACAAATTCCAGCTCAGCTTGCTGCTAGATCTCTAGTTCCTGACTATTAGGACAGTTATTGAGCTGAATGAATGAGCTTTCTTATCCATATCCACTATAAAAAATTACCTGATATTTTAAAATTTGTAGAAATGTAGGTATTTTTCTCAGTTTTGATAAATAAACTTTTGTTGTATTGGCTTCAATTACTTTAAAATATTCTTTTTTTCCTCTTTAAATCCTGATGACAATTAAGATAATTAGCTTAAGAAACAAATTATTTTTCTTACTATCTCTTCCTGTGGTGTTCTTTTTCATCTGTGAAAAATAAAGATTATGTTTAAAGTTCTTAGAAGTGTATTTTTAAAGAGTGTCATTGACTGCTGCTTAATTAATGTATTTAAATACATTGATTAATCGAGCTATAAAATCTGTGAATATCTTATTAGGCTTAATTGGCTAAATGTTGAATTTGCAGGAGTGTCATTACACTGGAAACTGGTTGCATGATTCCTGTTAAATATTTGCTATCTTTTTTTTTCAATTGTTAATAATAAATGTATATTAAATGATCAATGGTTGTATTCAGCAAGAAAAATCTTTCAGCTGCATTGAAATACTGCATCCTGCAATTTCTGCAGTGCTAGTTAGCAATGCACATACGTATTTAAAGCAATTTGAAATATGCCATCTGCCAAACGGTGCGAAGATGTAAATATTCTGCCCCTTTCTAAATCATCAGTAAGTCCCCTCAGTGGATTTATTACCCATGTGTAAGTAAATCATGATCCATAGTTCTCTTAGCTGCCAAGACAATATTTAATTTGTGCTTGTGTTTATGACGGGACAAGTTGTCTCTATGAGATATTAATTATGTCATCCTTACATTGATGTTATAGTTTGTGTTTTAGGACACAGATACTGTGACTGGGCTGTGCGCTGCCATTGAAGGGAACAAGAATTTCACAGCAGTTTCCCTGGGTCTTCCTGTGAAATCCTTGGTGATTTTTTTGAATGATGATTTGGTGAAAGCTGGCAGAGTTTTTTTTCAAAGAAAATTTAAAGAATGCTGAGGGTTTTAATTAAGGAAAACATGAAAATCACGCAGCTTTCATGGTAATATTTTTTGTTTAGCCTCACACTTGTTAAATACATCAATTTTGTAAGGCTTCCATGTCTTTTATACTAATAGACAAATCACTCTTTAAATATGCCACATAATTTAGTGTGAATAATTCATTTTCAGCAAAGAAACTGGGAAGGAAATGTTCAGTAGGGTAGGGAAAGCTAATGCATACAGCTTCCATGTGAAGAGTATTATGGTTCCATTCTGCTTTTATATCCATTTCAAGTACATAGAAAAATTGGAGAGAGTACTAAGAAGATGTGCAGAAAGAATAGTGTGAAAAAATGGTTTGAGTAAAGAAAAACTCAGTTTTTAAGACTGATTTCTTTTTAGGGAATTTGAGAAGTGTCTTTCATGGAAGGGACGTGCTTCTA